TATTCTCCAATGAATGAAATAAAGCAGCATTTTACTCTACACCAAGATATTCTCCAATGAATGAAATAAAGCAGCATTTTTACTCTCCACCAAGATATTCTCCAATGAATGAAATAAAGCAGCGACCTTGCTCGAATTAATTTAGATTCGACCTCGCTCGAATTAATTTACATTCGACCTCGCTCGAATTGTTTTACATTCGACCTCCCTCGAATTGTTTCACATTCTACCTCGCTCGGATTGTTTCACACGACCTCGCACGAATTGTTTTACGTTCGACCTCGCTCGAATTAATTTACGTTCAACCTCGCTCGAATTGTTTTACATTCGGCCTTGCTCAAATGTTTCACATTCGACCTCGCTCGAATTAATTTACATTCGACCTCGCTCGAATTGTTTTACATTCAACCTCGCACGAATTAATTTACATTCGACCTCGCTCGAATTGTTTCACATTCGACCTCGCTCGAATTGTTTCACATTCGACCTCGCTCGAATTATTTCACATGCGACCTTGCTCGAATTGTTTTACATGCGACTCCGCTCGATGTCTCCAATGTCCGACCGCGTCGAACATCAATCTTATCAAAAAATTAGGGACTTCCCCACATAACAAAAAAAAAAAGAGATCGGAAATCAAGAAACGCGTAGCAAAAGGGGGGGGGGGCTGTTCCATTACAACTGCCAAGTTACAATACTTTTTACAAAGGGCCCAAAGACGCCCTCATAAAAATAGCAAAACAGAACAAAAACTAAGTATGACGGCTTTACGCCGCGTCATTCCCATCGGCATACTCATCATTATACCAAGAATCGGAGGCAAGCCTATCCGCATCATCATTAACCTCATCCCCACCAGGCGTACCAGGGGCATAACCGCAAGCTTCACGGGCTGCACGCGCCTTAGCACGGACGCCCTCAAGTTCTGCTTCGAAAATCTTCCCGTCGGTTTTCAAAGACTTATTTACGTCAAGCTGAGCCTCGGCGTGAACCCACATCTCATACAACTCCCGTGGCACGCCGGGGTCGGCAGAAGTATGAGACGTGGACGGCTGTGACTGCCGTCGCACCTCCTCAGTTCTCAGGGTAACGACCTGCTCGTTCAATCCAGATAACTTTGCCTCCAAATTCTGGATTCGTTCCTCTAACCTCGCCATGAAAAGCGCCGATCTCTCCGACTCTCTCTCCCGCCCGGACCTGCAAATGCAGAGAGCGTCTTCTAAGGCCGTCGCTTCAGCAACAGTAGCCGCTTTGTGTTTCTCGGTACGAGCCAACTCTTGGACCTTGGCGCTCAACTCGCCCCGCAGATCAACACCATTCACCTCCCTCTAACCAAGTTCAGCAGTTAAAAATGCCGCTTGCTCTTCAAGATCGGCATTCTCAGCCATCACCCCTTTACTCACCTCGAGCTCGTCATCCTTGGCCTTTAGAGCTGCCTCGAGCTCACTGCATCGACCGATGGCTCTCATTAGCTCATCATCCCTCTCCTTTAACTCTTCATCTTTCTTCGCCAATTTCTCGTCTGTTTGTTTGAGCCCGTCGCGAAACAACTGAAACTCGCTATCCTGGTAAAAACATCGGCCATCATTCGGTGCTTAGTACGATACTCCTTATACTTGGAAGTCACCTTTTTAAAGAAGGCTGTCCTCTCCTCTTCCCTCCGTTCACGCTCAATCCCCATGATAAGAGTCTGACATGCTGAAGAAAAGAGTCAGTATGAGCAGATTACACATACGAAACAAATCCTAACATTAAAAAGCACTTACTCGTAGAGCCATGCCAGATATACTCAGCGATAACTCAGCATCGCTCATCGCCTGCAGCGCCACGTTCTCAGAAGCCGCACACAATGGGGTAAAGGACGGCACTACCCGTTCCGAGTTGGCCAAAAGGTCATAACCCACAGGGATGATTACGTGCCGGTTGGGACCCTCCGTCCTTACCTCCACGCGAGTGTTCCTCTCCAAGAAGGCCCGTATCTCTTCGGGGTCGATGTCCGAACCAGAACCGTCGTCCCCGCAGGTACCATTCCATCTCCCCCGGCCGCCGATGATGCACCATCTTCTGCGGTCCTTATAAGTTCCCCGCCTTCATGCACCTCCTCGGCTCTAGAGGACCTCCTCTCCATAACGGCATCCGCCATAAAAACGGCCCCTACGTCTGGTGCAAGTGCAGGCGCCGCTTCCGGAGCAATGAGTTTCTTTGGTTCAATATCAGTGACGATGGCCTTCCCAAGCTCCACCCCTCGCTCTTTCTCGATGGCGACTCCTCTCCATTAGACGACCCATCTACAAGATGGTAGATAGGCCGGGAAGAGATCTCATCCCGCACAGCAACATCTTGAGGGGCGAAATCCCTCGGTGAAAGAGCTTGAGTACGACCCCCGCGAACGGACTTGGCCAAAGCAAATTGCATCCCTGCCGATGCGATAGCCTGGAAAAATGCCGGCACTGGAGCTTTTTTCTTGGAAACCCGTCGACGTGGCACCAAAAGGAGGTAGTATCAACGAGCAATGGCAAACAACAGAGAGCTGAAGCAAAAGTAACACTTACTAGACGGGACCTTCGGTCCGAATTGCTTGTAGGAAACTACCCAATCACGAATCCCCACCATTTGAGGCAACACGCGGGCCACCCAATCTTCAATGTCGAGGACAGGGGAGGGTGCACACCTTTCAGCTGAAAAACAAAGAGACAACAAATGAGTCGAAAACAAAAGGACGAAAAAAGACAACGAGCGTATGACAAACACTTACGATTATGGTTCCACTGCTCGGGAAACCCAGTCGGGTTCGCCACCAAGTGCTCGGTCTTAATAAAAAAGTACTTATGCCAGAACTTCCGATTCATCCTGTCGTCCATTCCGACCATTAGCCCTCTGGTCCCGCGATGCTGTAGGTGTATCATAGTACCTCTATAAAAACTTGGTGAAAATAAGTGCAGCAAGTGACGAACATCAACCTCACAACCAGCCAATTCCGCGTACTTTGTCAGCATTAGAAAAGCTTTATACAAATAAGGAGAGTGTTGTGCCGGGCAGACGTTGTAAAATCGGCAAAATTCCTCTGCTAGCAGAAGAAAATGAAGAGTATAACCGATCAAGAACGGGTAGACATAGAAGGCACAATACCCAGGTCGATGAACCTCCACAATGTTGCCATCGGCCGGAATTATCTCGACGTTGGGGGGAGGTGAGGTGCGGTATTTGGATCGAAGCTCAGCTATATGAGACGGACCAGTCTCGGAGATCACCTGAGAAGGAGCGGGAGCAGGCTCCTTGGGAAATCATTTCTAGACAAAGGGTTTCTAGGAACTATCTCCTCCGCAGTAGGAAAGCTCTCGTCCTCTTCAACCATAAGTTCCTCACCACCGGAAGGAGGGTTCACCGATAACGGAGTGGCATCGGAAACTTCATCATGAATGCGAAGAGTTTGTTACATGTTTCGACAATGAAATGTGTTCTACCAAACCCAAAGAAGAAGATAATAACTAGGTAAGGAGGAGAGGAACGGAATCGGAAAAGCGAAATCAAGAGCAGAAGATCAAAGAAGAATAGTGCTCATGCAAGGTAAAAAATGGTGAAAACTTCTGAAAAATGAAACCCCCATCTATTTATAGGGTTGGGTGGCGCGAGAATTGAAGCAAAAGATTGTCAATGGCACCAAAACTAAAGCGACAGGCACACAGACGCTGTCTCGGGAAGATGTGTAATAATGACGCGCGTGGCTATGACGTCACCCCTGGTAGCCACACCAATCACAACTTCACTGGTTGCACCGTTCTCTCCACCTCGACCGACCCGACTTATTCAACACAACCAATTTTTCCGAAACGGAGGCGAATCTGGTTCGCTTATCGAGGGCGTGCAGGACCACGACCTCAACATGCGGAGGGACTAACTGTATTGGTCTAAATTTGGCGACTTGGTAGTCAAGGATAAGCGAGACCAAGGACGGGGTCGACCGCGGTGTAATAGCTGAAGGCTGCTCTCGAGAAGGCTGATGCCAAAGACGGGCAACCGAGATGAAGAAATAACGGTAGCTTAAGTTCAGATATGGACACAAGGAATATTCCTTTGGATATTCCTTATTTTGTACTTTTTAGGGTTTTTGGGAAATATCCCTTATAAATAGGAAGAGATAGAGAACAAAAAGGGGGATCTTCACTTTATGAGAAAAACACATTGTAAAATGTTGACCTGGGAGAATATACAACAGTTGTCTTGTTCATTGATTATCTTATTCAAGCACACGTTTTTGCTTCTTTTACTCAACAGATCCAAGAATCAATCCTCCTTATTTCTCTTTTCATCACGCTGTTGTCAGGGAAAGAGCCATCTAAGTCTTATAATAATTGGGTGGTAGATTCCTTTTTGTTATATTCATAGTCATTATCTATATTTATTGCTCATTTATGGTATTGCATTCATGAGCATTTAATCAGCACAAACACACTGATTAACGTTGTTTATCTTACCGACTTCACATAAAAGAATTTATTATCCTTAACTAAAATTCACCATTCATCTCATCATTAATTGATTTAACTGAAAGGTTCAACACTTTTTGGTCAAACAAGTATGACCACTTAACTATCTCCATTTAAATTGAGGAGTATCTCTAGTATACATATACCCTTTATGCAAACACCTTTAATTTAGAGAAATGAATCATTTTTCCTTCTATATAAAATTTTTATAGCATGAATAATCTTGCAAAATTTTGAAGTTAATTTATCTTCGTTGTATAACTCTGTCTTACTTAAACTTCATTATTATGAAATGATTGCACTTGAAAGTAAGGTTTCTTTTAAAAAATACTCCTATCTTTTATTATTCTTTGATTAAGTATACCTAACACAAAGTACAAAGTACTTGCATGAAAACTAGTAGGACTCAAATCACTACACTTGAGAATTAAGAGGAGCTTCGGGAAAAAAAAGAGAATTAAGAGGGGGCATTACGCAAATCCTTACAATGGAAAAAACCGAACTGTAGTGGTGGAGTTGTTTATCTCACGTAGGACTCGCACGAACACCAAACATAAACCTCGACGGCAACTGTACTAACTGAACCAAACTGCTACAACCTCACCGCCGTCAAACCCCGTCTTCCCAATGTCGACAGAAACCCTAAACCCCAAAATCAACGGCGAGGATTCAACAGAGCAGCTCCATCCACCGGAACCCTCCACCAATCCAACGGCCGAAATTTCACCAACGGAGAAGCGAAAGCGAGAAGAAACAGAAACAGAAGCAGAAACAGAAACAGAAACAGAAACGAAGCAACAGCAACAACGGCCAAGCCCGTTATGGAAAACGAGTCTTTGCTCGTACTTTCGAAGAAACGATAATTCATGCAGTCACGGTGAAACCTGCCGTTACGCCCATGGTGAGTCGGAGCTCCGACCCAGACCCGATAGTACATGGGACCCGACTTCTGAGAGGGCGAAAAAGATGGCTAAGAAGGATGATGATGGAGAAAAGGCAGAGAATAAAGAAGAAGAGAAGTGTAATGACGTTATGATGACGGAAGCGTTAGACGATGAGGAGGAATGTAGTTCGTCGGGTACTGGGTTGTCAAAGTGCTTGGTGAATCTTCCTATGAAGTGGAGTTCGGATAATTTAAGGTGTTTCCTTAAACAGCATGTAAGATTCTTGCTCGTTCAATCTTTCTGGATATTAAAGATGAAAGCTTTTATAATAAAAACATGAAATCTTGTGCGCCCAACTCTGGTTTTGCATTTATTTTCTCAACATTTTTTTAATTCCCAGTTTTAAGTAGCGGACAACTAAAACAGATTTAATTAAGCTATTTCAAAATATGCTCTTCTTTTATGCATCAACCACTCAGTGATTCACTTAGGTTTAGGGAGCTTGTATATATTTGAAGTTTTAGTTCTCACTAATCAAGATTGAGAGCTATCTTCCCATTGTGTATTAACTTTGTCATTAATCTGCTCCAAATAGGCTCAATTTGAAACATAACCTCCAAATATCATAAAGAACAAACTCCAATCATCAATTTATAAAAACAACCCCAAATCTAACAAACCCATTTTGCAATTTTAAAGAAGAAGAAGAAGAAACCTAACCAGCAGCAAAGCAAGGAGCACTACACCAACTCACTACTGTAAAAAACCATAAACCACCTTAAAACCTGCTCACAAACACCATATAAATACATCGTTACCTTTGTTTTCACAATGACTAAGTCAACATCTCAAAAGTGGCAAGCACAATGGTTCGAAACTATTAATATTCTGGAAGCACTAAGCTGGAAGTGCAACTTCAACAATTTCATCTCTTTGTGACCACTGGAACATTATTTAATTTCTGCAAACTTTTCTTCTCTGGGGAATGCTAATGCCAAATGCAACTTTCAATTTTTTCGTCTTTTTCCTGACCAAAGAAGATAATGGAGAGCACTTTTAACTTTCTACGGGCTTTTCTTCTTGTTGTATGACTTGTCTCAAAAATGTGTTCTAACTCCTAGTATCTGGATTGTGCTGAAAGTTAAGTACCTACACAAACGGTTAAGAGTTTTGTCCATTATGACATGTGAAGAGAAACTGGCAACTGAGTCAACTGGTCCTCAGGGAGCTTTAGGAGACCAAGCACTTTCTTGAAAGAGCCAGTAGTTTTTTTTTTTTTTTTTTTTTTTTTTTTTTTTTTTTTTTTTGTTGCGAAAATCAATTCTTTTATTCTCCTTATTTCCCTGCTGGCTTAATTTCTCAAACGCGGATTAGCTTATTAGTATAAAAATTAAAGAATATGGACAATCAAAAACAATATAATATGAAAAGTTTGAATTATCACCAAAAAACTTTTATCTCCCTCATGGACGAGATTTTATAGGTAAAGGCTTACTTTTTACCAAGAAAATTTCACAATCTTAATATTACAAAATCAAATATGGCCCCTCTACTTAACCGTAATAATAATTCTACTGTCAATTTATAAGTAGTAGGGAAAAAACTAATGTCTAACAATTATACTATATAACATTATTATAACTTCTTTATGTTACTTTTCCTAATATTTGGTGTGCTTTAAATTAACTGAATTTTATTTATTAAATTTTCTATTATTTACAAGAGCTATAAATCTCACACGAAGTTAGAAAAAGCAACAAAATCCTGCCAATTGTGATACGAAGTACTCTTAGAAAAATGAACTTGTTTAAACACATTAATTATTATTATTTAAATAATATTGATAATATATTTTGGAGCATGCTCCAAAGACTAGAGACGAAGTAATAATTTACATGAAGCAATCTGGTTGCTCAAAACATTATTGATATGAAGTAATCTCACATTGATATGTAACTATCTAGAAACTAGAAAAATTATAAAAGTATGCTTATTTGTCAATTTCTCCCAAACCACTGAACTATATATTCGAGCATATATACTTGATAATAAAAAAACAATCAATTTATTCCTTTATCGCATAATTATTAAAAAATTATTTATTAGAAGATAAAGGTAAAATATATTATGAACATTAATATTATATTAGTGATCACAAAGTATGGCTACGTGACTGATTGGCCCCACTCGATAATAAAATTTTCTACACCTAAAAATCATTATGAAGTTGAAAGCTATCAAAATGAACCCGTATTCTCTCAGGCAAAAAAATAAACTTATTGTTGTCTAATTAAACAGCCAAAAAAACAAAAAGAGATTCATTCACATATAAGAGAACCGTTTTAACTTTTATAGGAGTCATGCAACGCTTATTATTTTTATTAATCAAGACTGCGAGCCATCAAATTTATTGGCTTCATAAATGAATCGAGACAGTGAAAATAAAAGGGGTGTAATNGGGGGGGGGGGGGGGAATTTCTAGGTGCTTTTCCCTTGAATTTCTGTTGAACATTGGCAATAATTGATATAAGAACATTGTCAGCGCAATACAGAAACTGGCAGCCTATGTTTTCTCCTTTCATGTATTCGTCTTTGGATCTCCACCACATGAGCTGATCAGGTGATGCAATGGATAATTCATTTCGAATGGTTCTCTGTAGATCCTCGAAAACATACATCACTTTCAAAAGCAAATGAGCACATAGATCAGTCCTTTATGTTGGTCATGTTTCCTGGGACCCTATATTATCCTTTTTCTTTTTCTAGTAAAGTGAATGCAAGTGAAAATGGCTACATGTATGTTGAGCATACCCTTTAACATAAGTTTCTTTCCTTCATCCTTGCATCCATGACAACACTTGAATTCATCATTGCCTTAAAGAGCGGGTGTAGTTTTGTAGACTACTGGCAGTACCATTGTTAGCATCTGTAGAAGTACGTATGTTTGCTCTATGGTTGGACAACTCTGCTCTCCTGGAATCGTGATTCAGCTTCCTAAAGAAAATAATCCCTACTCTTTACCTTTTCTATTTATTGTTGTTCTGTTCTTTATGGATTCATTTTATAACGGGATGAGATGTTAGTTGGAATTGACTCCTTAAATTTCAGGATGTTACTTTTAAATCAGCAAAAAAGAAGAAAGGCATGGTTGTAGGATTTGTTACTTTTGAAAATCCAGAACAAGTGAAGAGTGCTCTGAAGGTATTCCAAGTGTTGTCTAAATTTGATTAGAGTGACATGCAGCTCTGCTATTGTCAGAAACATTTATTTTTCAAACTCGAACTTGGCAGGAGTTGAATGGGAAGCTTGTTGGAAACAAGAATTTGAAGGTTGGAGATGTCATTCCGCGGCCATTTGAGAGAAAAGGTAATTCGGCAATATCTTCATCTCCGTCCAGTCAACAAGGTGAAAAGCAAACCCCAACTGGGGACAGTTTGGATTCGACTAAAATATCAGATGAAACTGAGGCTGAGGACCCACTGTTCAGTGATTCAGTTTTGAAGGGTAGGAGTGTTCGTGATGTGGTGACTCCTCTTGCTAATATACCATACGCTGAGCAGCTGGAGCAGAAGAAGAGCTCTTTGATGCAAACTCTCAAAAAACTTGTTAGGATATCTTATCCCTCTATTCCATATTGTTATAAAATCGCTCAAAGCTTTTGACTTCCTGAATTACCACTTTCTCAAGGTTTGTGAAAATAGACTTTTGACCACTTTTTCTGTTTTTCATATGGACAGACTCGAAATGCACGTAAAGCCTGTCCAAATGGTGTTTCACTTCCTGAATGGATTCTCAAATCTAGGGAAATAGGTATACTTTAATCATTTCTTTGAATTGCATCGACTGCATTGTTGCTCTATGACTCTATCTGTATAGTTAATAGACAACTGATTCACTTCTGTTCACTGGAATCGTGTGGAATTAGGATGCTATTATTCCTATATAGCATTTGATAAAGAAATGATATAACCTTTCATCCGATCTTTCTTTGAGCAGGTGGTCAACCATGCAAACTGGAGGGCATAATCGACTCGCCACTTATTGAGGGATATCGTAACAAATGTGAGTTTTCTGTCGGATACTCTGTACTAGGGAAGCCAACTGCGGGGTTTCTGCTTGGAAATTTCAGGTAGATAAAAGTGATTGCAGTTTTTCAACATCTAGTTTTTTATCCCTTGTCATAGTCCATTTAACAGGAATTACCCTTGTACCAGGGAGGGTGTTACAGCTGTTGAGGAACCTGTGAACTGCCCAAATGTTTCTAGAATTGCTTGTAAATATGCTGCTATCTTTCAAGAATTTTTACAACAGTCAACCCTACCTATTTGGAATAGGTTGAATAATACTGGATTCTGGAGGCAACTTACTGTATGTCCAACTTCTTTCTATGACCAATTAGTTTGTTCAGCCTCTCCTATCATGCAGAGATGATTCAGTGTGCATGTTGGAGAGGCTGGACAGTCTTTTCTTGCTTTTATTGGAAATGGGGGGAGGCGGGTTTGTGATGCTTGGCCAACTGACTGGTTCTTTTGCGAATATCTACATCCAGGTTCGAGAAGGTCGCATGCCTGGTAATAATGTAGAGGTTGAAAATCCCGATGCAAGTATTTCAGAGGTTATGCTCATTGTTCAGGTTTATGTCTTGTTAACTTAGTCCTTATTTTGTTCTTTCATTTCTACAATTTTCTGGAAAAATGAGCAGTTGATCTTAGTTTGTGCTTAGGACTTGCTCCTTGACTTCTGTTTTTTTATTTTCTTTACTCCTGGATTGCTTAGGTTTGCACTCTGGGGCTGGATGATGCAGTAGTTAATGATGAATTCCAAAGTATGGTCAAAGCATTTGCTATGGGAGCTTCTAGTGCATCACCAACATTACCTCTTACTGTCCTGGTAGTTCAGGTATCATACATCAATTCTTGAAGGCATTTCTCAATCTATGGTGACAGTGGGTTTGGGGGGGGGGGGGGGGGGTAGGGGTTAACGTCGTAAAATTTGGCACTTATTTCTCACTAATATATAACAACCAACTTGGTCAGAAACGGAAATAAGCCAGGGATGCTGAGAGTTAAAACCCTATTTGTCTTTGTACCTTATTATCCTTTTGTCTTAAATTTTGATTTATGTCTATATCCTTGCTTCAAACTAGTGATCCTTTTTTTTTAACACTTAAATCCTTCAGATGTCTTGTTTTTTACCTTTTCAAGATTCTAGTTTTTTTCATAATAGGGAAATATGTACTTGATCTGCCAGTGGTGGCTTTACGCAACCTTGATGTTGCTACTTCTAAGTGCAGGATCACACTGGCATATCTAATGTAGCGCCGGCAGATGCTCCTCTGCGTGTCCTTCCGTTTCCCAAAGGGGAAAGCTATTCTGAACTGCAAGCAGATAATACAGTTGCTGAAGCAAAAATTCACGATTTTATAAATGGACTTAAGTTTTGTATTTCACCCACAGCCTTCTTTCAGGTGAAATTATTGCTTATTTCTCTCTGTCCTAAGCCGATCTTATTCTTTTCTTTCCTCTCTTCTTTCCTCTCTCTCTCTCTCTCTCTCTCTCTCTCTCTCTCTCTCTCTCTCTCTCTCTCTCAGAAGTTGCAAGTCTTTAATTTCTTTAATTGGCACAGGTGAACACCCTTGCTGCAGAGAAATTGTACTCCCTGGCGGGGGACTGGGCGAGCTTGGGTCCCGATACCTTGCTTTTCGACGTTTGCTGTGGAACTGGAACAATTGGTCTGACTCTGGCTAATCGAGTTGGTATGGTAATGTTCACCACTCTATTAAATTCTAAATTTTGCTTTTTTGAAATTGTTTTGCTTCATGGTGTTAAATATTTGCCCGAATAACTCACTATATCTACCTTTACCTGTTTTTAAAAAATGTTTTACTTTGATTACTCCAGGAATTAGTAGCAATAGTTCCAAGTAAACTATTATGTGGAGTTAGGCAAATAAGTGTTTTCATTTGCTGTCCCCAATTGAATGTCTTAGTTTTACTTTATACATAATACTTTTTTAAGTATGGTACATATACTAAAATAAAACTCGATAGCTTAAATGCGTAATATTTGTTGTGGTACATATGGGCTCATTGTGTTTACTTTTTCATTCTGGAAATAAAATAGAGAAAAATTTGTGTTAAACACTGTAAAGGTTTCATCAGAGAAAATAAATCTTCTTAATACAAATTGACTCGAATTTTGGGATGTTGCTGAAAGCTAGATATCCAACTTGGGGAAGTATAGTTTGAAATGAAATATGTTTGGTTAACTATGAATATGTCACTTCAAATTCAAGATAATATAAGTTAGTATCAGTTTATATTGTTTGAATTCCCCATTTGGGGACATCCAGTAAAATTGGGTGGATATAGATTTGTTTAATTGTTGGAGGGAGAAAATTTCCTGTTTAAAAAAGAGGTGGACCATTTCTTGCAAGGAGAGTAGGTTAAGCATTTCGGACACTATCTATAATGCTACTCTCATTTTGCTGTTACTGGCTTAGTATTTTAATTCTTGTTTAAAAAAAGTGCGTCTTACTTACATTTTGTAACAGGAAGTAAAATCTTCACGTTGAATATGTTTGAATGTCTTGAGATGATAAGAAGTTTTGTCTGATCAATTTCTTCAGGTTGTTGGCATTGAAATGAATGCTTCTGCGGTCTCTGATGCTCAAAGAAATGCAGAAATCAACGGGATAAAAAACTGTAGATTTGTTTGTGGAAAGGTCAGATTGGACTACATCTTTACTGGGTTTCTCACTCTTTCTTCACCCTTCCCTTCCGTATTATAGGTCTGCCCGTGGGCTGGTCATACTTGGTCTGTAAAATTAGGCACTACCAATAAATTTTGTTCTTAAATTTTAATTTATTTCCTTTTGGTCATGGCCGCGAAATTATACAGTGTTGATTTACTGTTAGTGATTTATACTGTTTTTTTAGTTAGGTTGTGTAAGTCATGTTGTTGCTAAATTTAAAGTACCAGGAGGAGAAACCCCCCCCCCCCCCTTTTTTTTTTTTCCCCTATGACTAGAGTATAACTATCTTAACTTTTTAGTCCTGTTTTAACTTCATTAAAGATTTGCAATGCTTTTTAGTCAAGGAAATAGATATATCAGGCATATTAAGTTGAACTAAGTGTAAAAGCCTGATGGGTCTGGCACGCATTCTGAAGTCTATCTGGATTTGGTTTGAGAGCTAGCTTTAAGAACAACCTGTATTTCAGTGAGCTTTTGTTCGGTAGCTGTAGCATAGATTTCTTTGGGAACAATGACTATGTTTATCTGTCCTTCCCTCTTTCTGTAGGATAGCTTATCTTTTGTTTTAAAAACTATGGTACGCATGTTAATTCCAGAATTTGCACCATGAGATTGCAGGCTGAGGATGTCATGGGATCTGTGCTGAGAGAGTACCTTACTTCACCTCCAAAAGTAGATGGAATTCCAGATATACAAGAAAATACAACTTCCACAGAGAAGACTGATTCTATAGTTAATGCATCGGAAACAGATGAGGGATCAGGTATTGGGTCTGCAACTGCACCTATTGGGAATACTGATTCTGCGGATAACACAGTGGAACCTGAGGGAAAAGAAGGCCTTGAGCATACCAATGGTACAAGCTTGTCAGAATCTTCAGCAGATGGCATTACAGAATCAGAAACCCAACTTGGGAAGAGTTGTTCATCAGATAATTTGACCACTTCAGTGCGACATTTCAAGAATGTTGTTGCAATTGTGGATCCTCCACGTGTTGGACTTCATCCCACTGTAAGTGATTTCTCTGCGTTCATCCTTGGTATCTGGACAAGTATTTAGAGCATAAATATACTTCTTTGTGATGTTGGTCACCAGTTTTTAAGCTATATGCTTTTGCATCTCATATAATGAAGAGCTCATCTGGTCTTTGATCTAATTCAGTTTTATGTGACCACCGGGGATTGACGTTACTATATGTTTCCCCTGTTATTGAATGCTGGGGCTTGAAATGAGCTGCTTGCTTTCTGCTAATATTTGTTCTCTATGCTTGTAGGTTATCAAACTTTTGAGGACTAACTCACGTCTAAGGAGGCTCGTGTAAGCTCCCCTGATGCATCAACTTATCCCTTTTCTTATTCTCTGCTCGGACCTTTTCCAGTGTTATTTCTAGTCTAATCCTCATTTTTGTTAATCTGCTCTTTTCAGTTACATTTCCTGCAATCCTGAGAGCTTGGTCGCAAATGCTATTGAGCTATGCACACCTTCTCCAGATGAATCTGAGAGGGGTAATAACAAAAACAACAGAGGATGGAGAAATATGAGCAGTGCTAGTCTTGCACGACATAGGACCAAATCTATGCCCAGTTCAGAGCCTTTTCAACCTGTCAAAGCAATGGCGGTTGATCTCTTTCCTCATACTCCTCATTGTGAACTGGTCATGCTTCTGGAGAGGTAAAGTTATCTATCGCCTTAAAAAATAATCTTAAGTAGCCAAGTTTATGAAAGGAGATAGAAATGCTCCCTTAGATTTGTTTTCTCGGTGTGGAAAACAATGAGCGAGCTTTCGGCAAACAATTACTACACATCGTTTATTAATGTTGCCGCTGGTGGTTTTGGGAAATCTTTTATTCTCGAGGTTTCCATAATATTGTGTTGTAATTGGCTCCTTATTGATGCCATTTCCGCTTCAAGAAGAATACCTCAAATGTAATGGCACATTCTGTTCATTTATATATGACCTCTCACATAATTTGGGATGCTATAAGGATTTCCAAATGATGCTCCGCAGTTTTGTCCCAAAAGAAGTTTGATGTGTTGAATAAATTATGTTCATGCTCATTCAGATCCATATTTAGTAAATCGTATGTCACATTTGTGGTTGTGTTGTCGTTGGTTGACGGAAGTCAATATATTGAGTCAAACTAAAAGGATACTTAAACTGGGATAGAGAATATTTTTGTGTTAGAGAACTGGACATGTTGATTATGGAAGCAAGGTCACTTCCAAACCTACATGCTAAGGGCAAAATAGTCAGATTATAATATTTTTGTATTAATGATAAATAGATTACTGAATGAGGTCAGTGTGATGAAGCTAACCTGAAGGGAAGTGTCTCTGAAATTTGTTATTTTATTATTATCTTATTCTTAAATTTTATTACTAATGTTGTTTCTTTTACTTTAGTTATCTTTACTATTTTTTATGTCAATAGTTTTCGTTTCTTTACTATTTTTACCATAGCTTTTTACTCTTAAACCCGTTTTGAAAACGGTTTTGTTGAGCCAAGGCTCTATTGGACGGTAGGGGTACCGTCCAAGGTTTACGTACACCTCACTCTCTGTAGACCCCACTCGTTACTTTGTGTAGAGGTCACGCCTTGCAATCTCTCTTGACAGAGAAAGAGTAAGCTGGATATGACACTGTATAGCCGTTCTTAAAATAATAACAGAAAATTATAAAATGTATATATATATATATACAAAAATATATATAAATTTTATACACTTACGGTTATTATATGTAAATGGTTTTGGCCGCGGGGCTAAAAATGTTAAAAGGGGAAAAGAGGCAAGGGAAAAGTTTCAAAATATAAAATTGACAATCAAGCGAACCGTCTAATTAGTGGCAAACGAAGGTACTAAAAAATACACAACAAAAAAAATCGCGCATTTGGTGTTAACAACAACCAATGAGTATGTGACATGTTATTCTGCATAGACTTTTCTTAGTGAATCATGGATGAATAATGTGAATTCTCTCAAGTTATTATTCAACTATGATAAATTAATATATTTTGATGTAAATCCGCGATTGGATGTGGGCTAGTAGTTTTCCTAACCACAACATTAGCCGTTTTTAGGTGCAGAAGTTTAAAAAAAAAAAGGGAAAAGGAATTCATTTCTCCTTTAATATATATATATATATATATATATATATATACTAGTTTCTATATACGTGTTTCACACGTAACACCCCAACTAAGAAGAGAAAGATGAAAAGAAAAAAAAGAAGTGAGTATCAATACAATGACACGACTAACAGTAAACAATGTTCATGCAACTTTTGTTATGGTTTTTTACT